AAAACTGGTCAAAATATCGCACTCCTATTATTTTGTGGACAACTGTAGATGTTTCTCTTACAGAGTTGAATGCAATAATGCGTGCTAATGACCTACTCACAATAGACGCATAAAACCATGACCATGTTGAGTAGAAGTTTACAGGTTGAAAAGAATAACGAAATTGTAGAAAATACGCCAGAAATACGCCTTTCGCAATAATGAACTGGTGGCATTACCGTTTAGAAATAAGAATAATAATAAAATGGCACCAGTTCACTTCTGAAACTGCTTTTTAATGTCCAAGTAATGGGAATTATTCCATATGGTGTTATTGTATCCACCCCACCCATCAATGCGAATTTATACAAGGTGGTGCTACTCTGAATGTCAAATAGATGTGTTTGTTGTAATATGAATTCGCCTTGTTTACAACAAACACATCATTTTGACATTCAGAAGGACCGCGGCGAAAATCCAAATTCGCCAGTAACACCACCTTGTATAAAAAGGCAGCTGAATGTCAGAAAATAAAGCGAGAAAGCTGTTTTATTACTTCACCTGTTTATTGCGCCATGGTTTCATGCAAACATTTTACGGGTTTCTAGCAATGTTTTCAACATATTAAAAAGCATGCAGACGAAATTCATTCCGTCAGTAAACTGTTTTTATTACAAATAGTATAAATAAGCAATGAGAAATAAGGCGGAATTTGTTTTATTTCCAACCTTCATTGCCTGCCGAGGTGCGACCGCTGTAAGAAAAAAATGGTATCTAATTAAGGTGTTGCCGGGACCAGGGATCGAACGCAGGCCCTACGGAGTTATAGTACGCCCCTCTAACCAGTCACAGCAGCTGCCTGAAATGCTAAATTAGAGATAAATGCTATATCTCTCCAACCTTCTTTTCCAACACTGGCATAAATTCTGTCGCTAGCTAAATTTAAGAAGAAAATGAATCATAACTTAGATAATGAAATCTGCTTAGGCAGTTTTTTGCAGAGTTGCTACAAATCAACACCAATTGAAACTTGCCTCTTCTCTATTTCAGGTACCATTCCGTTAATCGAAGACTTTAGCGATGCACGCAATTTGGCGACTCTAGCCGCCTTCGCTTCGTTGGGCGCTATTACCTGGTATGCTTGCACAACCCGTAATTTAACTCGATCTCGCGTGCTTTTGATGAGTCTCGCCTGGCTGGCATTGCCATTTGTGCCCGCCTCCAATCTCTTCTTTCCAGTTGGCTTTGTAGTGGCCGAGCGTATACTCTACATGCCTTCTATGGGCTACTGTCTATTCGTGGCCTACGGATACGTACAATTAGAGAATTATCTGAACGGTAAAGTGATCATGCGCCGTTTAATGCAACTGTCACTAAGTTTGTTGTTGCTCACGCATGCGCTCAAAACACATCACCGAAATATGGATTGGCGTACAGAGTACACGCTGTTCATGTCAGGAGTTCATGTAAATAGCAGAAATGCCAAACTCTTTAACAACGTTGGTCATGCGCTTGAAAATGAGCAACGTTATGCGGAGGCCTTGCTGTATTTCCAGCAAGCGGTGCAAATACAACCGGATGATATTGGCGCGCACATCAATGTTGGACGTACCTACAACAATATGCAGCAATACGATCAGGCCGAGGTGGCATATCGCAGGGCCAAGTCTTTATTTCCGCAAGTGAAACCCGGCGAAAGTTACCAAGCACGCATAGCACCCAACCATTTGAATGTGTTTATAAATCTAGCACAACTTATTGCGCGCAATAGCACGCGACTTGAAGAGGCCGATCTGCTGTACCGCCAGGCAATCAGTATGCGCGCCGACTATGTACAAGCGTATATTAACCGCGGCGACATACTGATGAAATTGAATCGCACCGCACTGGCGCAAGAGGTCTACGAGAAGGCGTTATTGTACGACAGTGAGAATGCCGACATCTATTACAATTTGGGTGTTGTTTTCTTGGAGCAAGGTAAAAGTGCGCAGGCGCACGTCTACTTTAACAAAGCCATCGAATTGTATCCGGAACATGAACAAGCCCTACTCAATTCCGCCATACTTCTACAGGAGCACGGCGGTGCAGAAGCGCGTGAGTTGTCGCGTGCGCGCCTGTTCAAGGTGCTAAACAAGGATGCGAACAATGAGAAGGTCTATTTCAATTTGGGCATGCTGGCCATGGACGAATCGAATTTTGAAGAAGCAGAACAGTTTTTTAAGCGAGCAATACACCTGCGTGCTGATTTTCGCAGTGCACTTTTTAATTTGGCGCTACTCCTAGCCGATGCCAATCGGCCGTTGGACGCAATCCCGTACCTGAATCAGCTAATACGTCATCATCCCGAACACATTAAAGGTTTGATCCTGCTCGGTGACATTTACATAAATCACATGAAGGATCTAGATGCGGCTGAGCAATGCTATCGCAGTATACTTCGTTATGAACCGCACAACATACAGGGTCTACACAATTTGTGTGTAGTATTTGTGGAGCGCAAGAGGTTGGCGCGTGCCAATGCGTGTTTGCGTTTTGCCCATCATTTGGCGCCACATGAGGATTATATTCTTCGTCATTGGCAAATTGTACAGCAGCGCCTTCAGAAGATAACACAGTTACCTGAAACGTCGCTGGAGCGACAAATTGCCTATGCTGACTATCAACCGGACGAGTTTAAGGTGATAGCAACGAAAGTGGACAGAAAGGAATATGCAAGTTTACAAGAAGAAAATCAGCAAAGGCAACAACATCGGTAGAAGCAAGCAGCAGATAATTATAGATATATTATACTGAGTAAGTTTGAAGAATACATGTTTATTGATAATGCCATAGAATTGTCGTATTTAAGAGAGAGTTAAGATACTTAAATGTAGATATAAGTTTAAGTGTATTGTGTATGCGTTGTTGTGGGATTGGGGACCGTCTATAAAATTAGCAATTTGTACGATTTGATTTAAAGTGAACCATTTTTCTTATGATTCACCGCAGTTCACTTTCTTTAAGGTCGTAGGCCGAGATCTTTACATAAAGTTTTTAAATATCTACGTAAAATAAATACATATAAAGACAGGATAACTCATTTGATCATTCTCCAAAAAACAAAGCTCCAACTTCTTTATTTTCCTATTGATTACTTCATTTATTTACGGATATTTGTACATTCGTCTAATTTGGACTTTTTTTCTTTGTATTTTCGGTTTTAATGTGTAGATTTTGTTGCTATCAAAAGAACAAGAGTCATGAAATTTTCCCACACTTTATTTAAAAAAAAATTTCTTAAAATTTTAAGAGGTTTTGTCCAATTAGTCCATCAAATTGCTTGTTTGCTTGCTTTGTTTGCTCTTTTTATAAGAGTTACCTTATTGGTAAAGGTGTAATTGTTTACTCGGTTATGAAAAATTCATTGGGTAGGTTCAGAAGGCGCAGCAGTCGAGCACACCCGTTGCTAAAAAAAAAATCAGTGATTTGTATGCGTATTCTGAACTTCTTGATACATTAGCTGTCAAATTTAATTCTTAAAGGTACACACCAACATGTTGCCTCAAATGATCAGAAAAATAACACAACTGTTAAGTTGGTCAGAAGTACACAACAACGCGTGCAGAAGATGCAATCGTAACAGTTACTGAGCTGTTCCGCCTTCTGAACGTGCCCACTGTTAAGGCTCTTACGTTCTATCAGGTTTTGTTTTTTTTTTCTATTGTGTAACATAATATTACACTACGACAAAAAAATAACCACCACATTCTATTTATCAATCCCATGTAAAATTTTCCGCCGAATCCACATATGCCAATCCCTTATTATAAAAGTAGAATAGTTTTCGAAATATTTTGGAATTGCAGTTTTTTGAGCTTTAAAAAAGGTAAGGCTGCTAAATTTTCAATATCTTCTCCTTACTGAATCGAATTTAAAGCTATTTTATTTTTAGCACATATAGAGAATTCACAGACTTTCCAGGAAAACAAAAATCGACTGAGCAGGGGCAGGCGTTACTATTTTTAAGCATTAAGTAACCTCGTTTTTAAATTAATTTTTTTAACACAATATAAAATAACCGCCCTTTTTGCAGCGTAGCTCGACAATGTTAAAAGAGATATGTATAATGTACAAACCTGTACCAATTTACTTTTTTAGTAAAAACTAAAATTTCTGACATTTCAAGTATTTATTTGTTGATCTCTATCGTTTTCGATATTTAATTTTACATATTTAAATTCCCAGTAAACATAATATCTACAGCTCGGCCAACCTGGTAATTGATCGGTCTCGATCATATAAAAATCGCCTAAGTGAACATGTAACTAACTAATAGTAACTAAAGTACTCCTCAGGAGCGGTAGTAGCTTCTCTACTGCTAGTGGAATTCGTTGGATAAAGCCTCACAAATTTGGTAAACTCATCAACTACGATTAAAATGTGCTTTCGTTTCGAATTGATAGACGGCAGTGGCCAAAGCGGTCGATATGAAATGTGTGGAAAGAGGAGTCTTAGGAATTACGTACAAATTTCTCTCGCTAACTCGTGATGGGTTAGCGCACATTAGACTTTTCAAGCAGTTGCCAATAAACGATTCCACCCTTACTCTCATTTTGGGGAACCAATAATACAGAACTAGTTTCCCGATAGTGTTATCAACTGATTGATGGCCCATCTTTTCATGTAACGACCTTATAACATTGTATTCCATTTCGGCAGGAACATATAACATTTGATTTCCATTGGGCCTGCATCTACTAACTAAACCATGCACTAAGTAAACGTTTTTCACTGGACCGTTTTTAAGGCGCTTCCGAAGAAGACTGATAGCCTCGTCATGTTCTGGAGCTATTTGAATCTGAAATTCAACTTCATCGGCATTGATGATATGTGTAATCTGCGTCCTACTTAAAGCATCGGCGTACCCCATAGAAGTCCCTTTCTTATGCTGTATCT